TGCTGAACCACACGGGAGGTATGAGAGCATTGCAGTGGTCATGGCACCAACTGGGCGATGGCGTGGAAGGACTGGACCAAGGTATAACTCTCTTCCCTTAGCAAAATGTCCTGACCTCAAGGCGGAAAAGCTGTTCACACTTGTGCTCATGAGGACTTAAGATTGATTACTTCCTGCAAAAAAATTGGAAAAGGAAGCATCACAAATACTCCAATTATAGCTCATTTATGGCAAGTGGAAGAAGTACAGTCCTAAGCAGCTGGGAACAGTATAGAAGCTGTTGTGATTAATGTATATGAAGCAGCAGTGGAAAGAAGGATTTAAACATTAGTAGATTTAACTCCACAGGGGAGCTTTAAGGGCTATACACCTATACCACGTGTTCCCCATCTACAAAGTGTGCAGGTAGTATGTCCCCAGTTATTTGGGAGGACTGCTGGGAGAGACTGATGTAAAGTCCTCTGAGATTTTTTCTGTAAAATATGCCACGTACGTGTAAAATATAGTTGTCATGTAGTGAATGGGAAGATGCTTACAGCTAATTTTGAAGTATGTATGTCTTTGCAGCCTTTAAAAATGCACTGCAAGAGTTGTGCATTGGTTACCAGCTCTGGACACCTTCTGGGAAGTAAACAAGGTGACAGAATCGACGAGACGGAGTGCGTAATACGAATGAATGACGCGCCTACTCGAGGTTATGGAAAAGATGTTGGTAACAAAACGAGCCTTCGAGTCATTGCACACTCCAGTATTCAGAGGATTTTGCGAAATCGCAATGAACTCTTAAATATGAGCCATGGTGCTGTGTTTATCTTCTGGGGTCCTAGCAGCTACATGAGGAGAGATGGTAAAGGCTTAGTGTATAATAACCTGCAGCTGATGAATCAGATACTGCCTCAATTAAAAGCATATATGATTTCTCGCCACAAGATGCTTCAATTTGATGAGCTTTTTAAAAGAGAAACTGGAAAAGACAGGTGAGAACTTATGTGGATGCATTTGGGGGATGTCATACAGTAGTAAAATAATGTAGTTTATACATACCAATTTCAGATCTGTTCAGAGGGGCCATCACACCCATTAAATCCTCTCCCTCATGAGTTGTAATATGGTATGACTTGCCAAATAACATCACTTGTAACATAAGTAAAAAATATGCATCAAAATAATTTGTATGGAGTATGGCCTCATCAACTTAGAATACCAGAATCTGGATGTACTGTTTATACAGACAAGGAGGCAGGAGCTGTTTAAATCTCACTTTGGGGTAATAAACCTGAAAGGTTTTTTTACTGATTCTGAAAAATCAGAATGGATAGATTATGTTTTCTTATAGAGGAAATGCCACCATTCAGTGAATTGTAATAGCCTTTTATTGAATTTAAGCATTCTTGGAACATTGCAGCTGTAAAGCTTCTTGTAAAACAAATAAACATTAGTCATACATTAGGTGCTTCAGAACAGTTAATCTTGTATTTCCAACTGGGAAAAGGAAAGTTATTGTGATAGTTCCATCTTTATGAGACTGTTTATGACTTGTAGGCTGATCTTCAAATCAAATTTTTAATAAGTGACCCACTGCAGGACTTGAGGATTTTCACAGATAATGTTTGAAAATGGGCATTTAAGCCAAAGACTTCCTAGCAAGAAATACATTTATTTTTAATGAACTCTATTTTTTTACATATTAAATATGCTGCTGTAAAAATGGAACAGGGTCCCCGCTTAGGTACAAATGAAGAGGTAGGTTTATTGTGCAGTAACTCACGGTGAAATTTTCTAACTTCACAAGTATTACACGTACTAAAGCTTGGAGCTGGGCTCGATCCTCTTGTGTGGAGGGAGGACTCAAGAACACGGTCATTGTTTTCTGGGCTGCACACAAACAGCAGAACCAGTGTTAGAGGAAACTGTTGTATCCTCTTAGCTGGCGGTGACTGTATCTTTGCTTGGCATTTGCTGCCTCTGTCACACCCCACATGGTTTGCTCACAGAGCTCTGTTCAGTTACAGTGGATCAGACTACGTATCCAAGTTCTTGATTGACTCACACCAACGCTAGATCTAGCACACATTAACTTGGTCAGTTTCTTAACATTAAAGGTCCTTTTCTCATCCTCCTCAAATTGGTGGTTCTGAAGCTCTGCCAGAGGCTCTGCCTCTGCCAGCATGAGAAGGAAGGATAACAAGGGGAGATACCCGGCCAGTTCTGATGTGCTACAGTCTTTCCACGTTTGTTCACCTGGAGTAGAGCAAAGTGAGAAGGTTATGATCCATGGGAATTAAGCACTTGAACCCTTCAAGAAAAGTGCAAAGCACTATCTGTATTTACAAAGGCATTAAAGTTAATATAGCTGTAGTTGCACTGCAACATGGGCCACCATCAGCCCTAAGGGTCAAACCCTGCACACAAGGAATGCACGCTGCCACCTCCTTTGCTGGATTACTCTTTCAGTGTAAACCCACTTCCAGTCCCCAGGTCTGAGGAACAGTTTACCTCCTCTGCTTCAGTCTGGCCAGTTCTGCCATGGGGAGCCAGGGACCATTCCTTTCCTGACACTTGCTGTGCAGTTTCAGGCAAGCTGCTCTTTCTGGTTCTGCATCACCCGCCCTGAGCAGGCGGCCCATAGCTGTGCATGAGATGAAAGTGTTTCTTTCTCTGCACAGGCACCAGGCTCAGTCTTGGCTCCTGAAATATTCTCAAGGTGTTTGAGACATTAATGACACTATAGCAAGTTTATAGTGGACTCGGTCACGGGCACCCCAAACGCCCTATGTGAATCCAGGGCACTTGGACGCTTGCAAAATGCAGCCTCCTGAACAGGTCCCGTTGCTTTTAAGAAATTGCAGGCTCTGCTGTGTGTGAACTGCTCCTTTAGAGGGCACATACAGCATACTTGAAGGACTAAGAAGATTAAAACAGGAGATGAAAATAAATGAATAGGCAGCACAGAAAAAGAGAGGGAAGATGAAAAGAAACCAGGGTAGGAAGGACTTTGTAAGGAAAGGAAATTTATGTAGCTGTGGGGGCAGGAGCAGAACATTGTGCAGCCCAGAATGTTGCTGTTCCCTGGGAGGTTTCTGCTGAGCTCTTGACAGTAGCGCCTGCAAAAAACAAAGGAGGGAGAGAGAAGCCTGATTGCAAGGTTGCAATAATCAAACCATTCATTTCTGTCTTGAAAATGATGATAAAAAAGGTAATTGGATGTATTGTGTTTTTCAAAAAAAAGCTGGTTTTGAAATGAAGGGAAACCTTCAGGAAACATTGCCAGTTAAATAGCATAGTGTCTGACAAAGGCTTCAGAGCAATATACTTGGTATTATAAAGTAACTGTACTTGAAAATAACTTTATAATTGAATAAGGGTATGTTAAGAAAATATGATTCAGAACCAATATTATAGTAATTAGATAAAGGAAGCATAAATGAAATAACTGTAGGAAGAGTATTTCCATAGATATTGTAAATGAGATTTTGGTGGAGCAGAAAGGCCTTTAATTGTAATTTAGTGTGCACTACAGAATTGCCAGCACAGTGTGTTAGTTCATCATATAAAAGAATATCTGATAATTTCCCCTAATAAGCACATGACAGTTCTTCATATTCTTTTATTACTGCTGATTAGGTATAAAAACAGTATTATTTTGTTGGACTCTTGTTCAGATCTTTTATGAAAAGGCAAGACACTACAACCCTGTTTCTATATTGCTGTCCTACAGACATAGTATTTAAAGAGGCCAGAGTGGCACTTGAGTAAGTTTTTAAATCTTTATTTTGTTGTTTAGGTTTTAAGCTAGTTTATTTCTATTCAGTTATTCTCCTGTTTATTTCAAACTCTAAATTGCAGCATAAGTGTGCATAGCAAAAAAAAAAACTAACCCAGCAGCAGCCAGCCTAGCTCGGTTGCCTGACGTGTGCAAGGCCCAGCCACTTTGGTCATGGTCTAGATGCAACGGCTCCCCCGGGCTTGGAGCGTAAGGTCACAGACACCTCCAACAGTAGCCTTGTGCAAGCTCCAAAGTGCTCCTAGCCTGAACATGTTCCTGAATTACCTAGCAATATATAGGTTCAGAAACTCTCAAGTGGCAGGAAAGCAAATTTTTTAGGCTTTTCCCTAGCTTTCCCTTTCCTAATAATTTTGAGCCAAAAATTATTGTTTGCTGTTTTGTGTTGTTGCAGTGCCTGAAGGCCTCTGCTGAGCTTATGACCCAGCTACGACATTGTGACAAATTGCACCCTGCCCCCTCCCCCCCCCCCGCTTAAGTGCAAATTCAGAAAATAAATAAGGTCCCATAATTGGAACTAATGAGATGCTTAAATCATGTTAGTCTCCAAATGCTAGCTTAGCCTGGAAGTCTGTTTGTCAGTAGAAGTGAAAAAGTATGTTTCAAGAGTTCATACATTACCAGGTGACCCACAAATTACCTAGGCTCCCCAGCATCCCTCAGGCAATTTTGGTTAAAGAATTCCCTCATGTTTAGAAGTGCCTTTTATGCAGCCAGCACTGATACCACCATTTCTTTTTTTCTTTGCAATAGTCCAACTCACTGAGGAAATGGGGAAACCTTGGTACAAGGCATTCCTCAATCTGACAGTGCTTAAAACATCTCCCTCCTGCTGCCCCTGCCTGGAACCAACTTGTTCAGCATTAGCTTGGGAGCAGCACAGTGGGCTCCTGCCTGCTGAATGACAAATTAGTGATTGCTGGCACTTGCTTGCAGTGGCTGCAGTGACTTCAGGTCTCTACTTCCAGGACTGCTGCGCATTCCCCTGTCACCGGGTACATTGTAAAAGATGGCCTTGGAACTGGGGTCAGGACCTGGGATTCCCAGGTGACTGCTCTGATGAGAACTTCATGTTCTCTGCTGTGCGTTTTTAGGGGGTCACAAAATTTCGCAGGTGTCAGGCATATAGGTGTGGTGGAATGGGGTTAATGTAGGTTCCATACTAGTACGATCCGACATGGTGCACAAGCCATCCAAAAACCTGCATTTGCTCTCACAGTGTCTCATCTTCAGTAGGAGATGAAAGGAGAGCCAGTCACTGTGACAGGCTGTCATCAGGAATCGGAGGCCTTTTTGGGACGCAGATGACACAAGTTTGATCTTTCTGCGGGACTTTTCTAGCTGAGTGAGGAGCCATTAGGGAGACCTGCTGTCTCCTGCTTTAACAGTAAGTGAAGGGAGACCTTTGAGTGAAGTAGTTTTCTCTAGAGCAAATACCCACTGTATGTGCCTCCATTGCCAAGAGAGGTGCCCAACTTGGGCCTGTAGGGCTGCGCCTAAATAGCCCCTTACGACTCCTTTAAGAAGTGCTCCTGGCATTTCACTGACCCTCCCATTCCAAGACTGCTGGCTCTCCCCCAGCATAGGGACAGTGCAGGCACTTAACACAGGACTGGGACTTCCAGTGCATGTGCCAGGCAACCAGTAACCATTACAGTACCCAGCTCTTACACACTGAACAGCAGTGACAAGGAAATGCTAGGAAGAGGAAACTTTATTGCTGCTATTTTGCAGGTAAGAACCTGTGATACCGCAAAATCTAGGCACACCTTGTAAATCTCTTACATCTGTGTGCAGTTACAAGGAGATATCCCCTATTTTGCATAAATAATTCTGGGATCAGTTGTATTTCTTTTAAAGATTTCTCCCAGCCTGCAGAGAAGGCCAGGAAAGGAGGTGCCTTAGAGGCCTCCCTTGCAGCACTTGTCATTCGTATTCGCAGGTCCCAGCAGGCAGGATGCGACTCGGGGCAGGCAGAGGTGTAGCAGCTAAGATGAAGGTTTCCCAGGCTGGCTGAGGGACAGGCAGAGCTGCAGCTAACCACGAGTTGCCTGCCAGCAGTGACAGTGAGTGGCTGGGAGCTTCTAGAAACCAAATCATGGACGAGGTGGGAGGAGGGCTGGTGAGACCAAGTACTTGCAGCCAGATCTCGCTCCAGCAGACAGGCTCCTCTGTGTGCTATAGGAGACAGCGTCTTAAGCAACCCTCTTTATCCCCCATGACGCGTCTTCCTGAGCACCCGGTGTGTAAGCTCCATTAGACGATTATACGTGTGTATAGATTACTAGCAGAAAAACACAAATATAAGACATGAAGTTTCAGTCACTTAAGGTAAACTTACCAAAAGGTCAGCTAAATATTAACATTTCTGTGCCCAAAATTAATTTCAGCAATGGTAGTTTCTGCATAGATTAGCCCACTGACAGACGACACTAGCGAAATCATGAAAAGATGAATGAGCAAAGTAGTCTTGGTTGCCCAATTTTCATAACCTTTCACAGGAATGAAAAAAATGCCCAGAAATTGCTTCAGATATCTCAAGAATTATTTGTCAGCCTAGAAACTTAATTATGTTTTTGCTTTCAGGAAGATATCCAACACTTGGCTTAGCACGGGCTGGTTCACAATGACTATCGCCTTAGAGCTCTGTGACAGGATAAATGTTTATGGCATGGTGCCACCGGATTTCTGCAGGTAGGATTTATTTTGGAACCATTATTAGCCAACAAGGTTGAATGTTACAGATAAATACCTGAATCTTGTAATTTTTTTTCTCTGCAACATGTCTTCAGTCCTCTTAAAATAATTAACATGTCCCAAAATCTGATTCTGAAAACAACAAGCAGCATTTAATTATGTTATATAAAATATTTTTTAAAAATTGTAGTGTGGGAGAATTAATCCATCTTGTTTGTTTCTTTTAGTCTCTGAATATTTATCAGCTAAAAGTAATGCAATAATTGGCATGAAATTAATCTGAAAAAGGAGTACTGGAAAACATTACTTTTAATTCGTTTTTAAAGTTCCTCCCCAGTTAACAGAGGAACGGACTTCTCACAGTGACTAGTTTCTAAATTGAACTTTCTACGCAGCTCAAATTAAGGTGGTTGTATCTCTGTCATGTGAGTCCCAATCTTCGAGTAAACTAGCTTCTTAAATAATCCCCACCAAACAAAAAAACCCACCCAAATTTGGACCTGCAGAATAGATGACCAGTCCTGTCATCGCCCATTTGGGCATGCAGGGTGTGAGCCGCAAGTGGCAGAAGCAGCACACGCATTCTGGCGGTGGAAGCTGTGGGACCCCTTCACGCTGGTGTGGGAAGTAACGGCGTGGGTACATTTCACGGCTGCGTTGTGCCTCCAGCTGTATCCCAGACTCGGACCCAAGGCGCTGGTGAAGGTTTCCTGCTATGGATCAGTGACAGAAGGAAACGGAATTCAGGACTTCTGATATTGGACCAAGAGCCTGTCAGCCACATGGCGCAAAGCACTGATCCAGTATAAATTAATGCAAAATTGTTTTAGGTCAGCAGTGTTTACGCTGATTTAAGTACCACCTGTCCATCCACTGCTAGGCCTAGCACTCCGGCCTTTCAGAACAGTGTGGTCATGTGCCCACACCTAGCCCTGCTCCCATTTGCACTGCTGGTGACCCAGCAATGCACAGAGGTGGTACCGGCAATGATGTGTGTGCAATGATGGCATCAGTGGAACGTTTCATCACCTGCTCACAAATCCCTTCAACTAAGAATTACTTGCTTGAATTCTCTGTTGCAAATGCAGTGATCTCACTGAAGTCTGGTTCATTGACTAATTCAAGATGGCTTTCAGGGGCAAGGGGAGTGAGGCTGCAGCGACAGGTTAGCTCATCTATCAAAGAACAGGACTGCTTTGACTTCTTCTGAGCACTGAAAAAGATCATTTGTGAATCTGCATTTGTCCTGGGCACATAGGATAAGTCCCTGAAGAAATTACAATACAAAATGTCAACACTAAATTCCACTTTGTAAGAATTTCTACAAATTATAACAAAACACTGACGATAAATGCTGTGATGTACTGCCAGACTTCATCATGAATTCTCCATGGAAAATAACAAACTAGATCAGACACTCCAGACAACATAAATGCCTTCCACAGCTCAGCATTTCAGCTCCCCTCTCATTTCAGTTGGCCAACACACACTTCCTCAGTTTCTGTAAGGGGCTGGCCTGTCTTACTCCAGAAGTGGCTGTATTCCAGTGGCACACGGAAGTAATTCTTAAATTAACTGATGATCTAAAAATACAGAAGACAGCAAGTCACCGTAAAGCAATGCTCAATCCTAACTTTTCAGCAAAGTGAGATTAGATACATATACTTAGTTGAAAAAAAAATTACCCAACTGTTTTTAAGAGATGCTAAAATTGTCACTGAGACCATAATAAGGCTTTCATAGAATTGATACACTGAAAGGAAAGGGATACAATGTTAAATTATAGCACAAGAAAGGCTGTAACCAATCCTACTGTTGATAGATGTAATAATGCTTACAGCCTGCATAAAAAAAATCTTAACATAAAAATACACTTACCTGGTCGTAAAAAGGGGAAAAGGTAATTTCTTAATCAAAAGAATATAAAGTGTCTTCACTTCAGGTTTATTCCCCAGATGATGAAGGGGAAAACTGTAGTTGCCACGCCTGGAAGAAGCTGTCCATGAAGATGTACGAAAGGAACCTCTTCCCATAAATACAGTTAACCTGCTTAGTTTGCTCTTCAGCCACAAATTAAGAAGTTAAACAGTGCTTCCTTTCAAAGAAATAAGACAACAAAATCGAACAGCAGAAATAAAGAAATATTCCTATTTTAAGCCATATTTCCTGTTTTTTAGTCAGACAAAATACAAATCTACTATTTAAAAAAGAAAAATGAAAAAACAACAGAAAACCACACCCTACTTCTCTCATATCTGTGCGAGATGGTGTAGGTACTTTAGGTGCTGTGCAACTAAAGAATCAGTGAGATTAAAAAAAAAAAAAAACCACCTTATTTCTATTCAGAGTTAATATGACCAAATTTACAACTTCAGCAGATACCCATTATTTTTTAAGTATTAATTTGTGCAGCAAGTAATGAGTGTGGGTGATCACTGTCACGGAACTAAATTAGTATCACATCTGTAACGTGAAGGACATCTCAAAGGTATCGTGAATATCATACTGTTGATTCTGCTACAAATTATTAGCTTAAGATCATTAACCAAATTGCTTCCCATCCATGCAGGAAAAATAGTCTAGTGAAGGAGTCTGGAGTACAGACTAAAAGATTTGTCACTATTAATTGCAACAACATGGTTTAGATTCATTTCTATTTACTTTCACTGGACATTGATTTTTATAGCTGAACTGCAATCGGTGACCTGATTATTATAAATTTCTGCTACTTTACAGCAAAGCAATACGTAATATTGAAGCCCTTTGCTACAGATTTATGCTGTAGTAAGGGTTAATGGCTTTGATATTGCTCTCATACTGCTGCTAAATACATCTGACTTGCACATTCTAGAATAAGATGAAAGCTTGTGCTCCCACGCACCTTGCAAAGACTTCGGAGAGCATGCGCGCCTCGCACTCTTTTGTCATGAGCAAGGCAAGCCATCATGCTGTGTTTTCCCCAGTGCCCAGGGATCACAATCCTAGCCTTTGCTGGAGCAAACTAGCACCCCAGATGGGAAGCATTTCCCACTCTGAGCTCCCTTGGGCAGCCCGCTGTATGCACGGGCCTCTCCCAAACCGGGACATCCTTTGGCCTCCCTCCAGCGGCAGCCAGATGTGGAGCACGGACAGCCCCACAGCTCCTGGAGGCACTGCAGGGCTGCTGCTTTGCTTTCTGCCTGCTCCGCAGCGTCGGGTGGAGGCCACAGGCAGGCCTTGATGTGGTCCGTAGTGACTCCGGTCCCTGGCCACTGGAGTACCGGCAGCAGCGAGAGGGTGGCTCCTTGCATGTATCTCTGGGCCCTTGTGCCCACAAGGAAAACTCCGTGTGTCAGTGAGAAGAGCCCTCTTTCCCCCCCCCCGGCCTGGGCCTTCTGGAACTTGCAGAAACTTAAAGCTTAATTCTGAGCCTTATTTTAACTAACAAGAATAATTTTTCCTCCAATTACGGAGCCAGATCATTTTCCTATAAGAATCCTCATTTGACTGCCAGGCCATTTCCCATCTGTGATAATTTGCCTGAAAATTGGCATTTCAAATCCTTTAATTTATTCCTTTGGGCACAGCTTTTAAATCTAGTATTTTCTTACCTCCCTCTCTCCACTTTCAATTGCCTTAAATCAAGTGCAAAGAAGCAGTTGTTGCTAGTTACATTTCCTGGGGCTTATGACAGGCTTGATGGAAGGAGGGGTGCTCACAGGATTTTAAACTGTATGGGAGTATGTAATTCCCTTTAGTCCATATGCCTGGGTCTCATCTCTTTCCCACTTAATAACAAAATGTTTAAATGGTTTGGCAAACAGGGCTAGTGTGGAGGTCAAGGAAATGAGATGCTGGGAATAGAAGGCAAAAAATTATCCAGAAATCTTCACAGTCCTGCCACGGCACCTTGGCCATCACAACATATTAATGACACTTTATTCACCCTTCAAAATCACAGAATCACAAAATAGTAGGGGTTGGAAGGGACCTCTGTGGGTCATCTAGTTCAACCCTCCTGCCAAAGCAGGGTCACCTACAGCAAGCTGCACAGGACCTTGTCCAGGCGGGTCTTGAATATCTCCAGAGAAGGAGACTCCACAACCTCCCTGGGCAGCCTGTTCCAGTGCTCCGTCACCCTCAGAGGGAAGAAGTTCTTCCTCATGTTCAGACGGAACTTCCTGTGCCTCAGTTTGTGCCCATTGCCCCTTGTCCTGTCACTGGGCACCACTGAAAAGAGCTTGGCCCCATAATTCATTCCTTCTCCGGCTCCGGCTGCACGCTCGGTTGGAGGAGGCACAGGATTGAAGACAGGGAGGGATGCTCCAGCCCTTCGGTTCCTACCGAGTCACACCTTGTGCCAGCTGAGCTGGCAGTGGGGATTTCATCATCACCGCCACAAAATATTTTGATTTTTGAGTCAGGCGCTGTCTCCCTTTCTGTGACAGAGCTCAAGAGATGCAGCCGCTGTGCATCCCTCCAGCAAAGGACCGGAGATCACAGAATCACAGAATGTTCAGGGTTGGAAGGGACCTCTGTGGGTCATCTAGTCCAACCCC